ATGTGGTTTTGAGGTGAAGTTGCCCAGGTACTCGGCGGGCTCCCTGGGACACGTCCCGCCCGGAGCGCGGCCGGGGGCTGCCGGGGCTGTGAGGGAGCAGCTGACTGGGGCGAGGAATAAGTTGAACTGGAAAAAGTGAGTCAAGATTGGGAGTTACCTGCAGCAACCAAACGCAGTTCTCACTGGCTTCCGTTCTTTTTTTGGGGTGTTTTTGAGTTTGTTTTGGTTTGTTTTTTTTTTTGCCTCGGGGTTTTGTGCTTTTAAGGGTCGCTGTGGGGTTATCTGTCACCAACAGCCCCCTCCTGCTCTGTGGGTGCTGCTGTTCTGGAGCCTTCTCAGCAGTTCTTCCAAAACACATTGTGCACTCTCTGGTGTGGTTCCATACAGGTAGAATGGTGCTTTCCAGGACCATTTCTTCTTCTTTTTTTTTTTTTTTTTTTTTTTTTTTTTTTTTTTTTTTTTTTTTTTTTTGTCGTTTTTTATACCTTTTTAAATTGATCTTGATCTTTGCCTGAGCTGTAAGCAGTTCCTGCCCCTCTGGTGGTAACCCCAGCAGGGAAAGGATTCCTCACCCCTATTTCTCTGCCTGTTGTTTCACGTCTTGCTGCTAGGTTGAAAGTTCCTTTGAGCAGCGAGGTTACAGTATGTGTTACACTGTCAGGAAACAGCTGCACCTTTAAATCAGGTACTTTGTAGTTGTAGTTATAAACCAGGAGAGAGGTGAAAGTACAATTCATGTCTGGTGCTCCACACAGAACAAGATTTACTTGCTTGCAAGAGCAATGGGAAACGGGTTACAGCCTGACCCTGGAGTTAAGTTTAACCCTACAGCCTGAACACAAGGAACAGCAGATCTAGGTCACGGTAAAGGAAAGTGCTCAATACATTGAATTCTTATTTGAAGTTGGGTATCTAAAGCTTAGTTCTTCAAGAAAAAAGAACTACAGTGCTGTGGCCATGGTGCTTGTTAGGAACACGAGTTGGGATGTCCCAAGCTTGTTTACACATTTTAGTGCTGTGAGATTCTGGTGTGGCTTCTTGGCACTTCTACAGATCGGTATTCTCTGTGTATTGTACAGCAGCTGCCAAGACAAAATGCTTGATGTAATAAATCTCCTGCAAGCTGAACACTGAACTTCTGTAACACAGATGAATATGCAGCCCACGCCTCTATTTAAAATGCAGACCAAACACGGGCCAGATAATTCTCCCAAGTGTCTCTTTAAAACACTACATGCTGCAGCCTGTAGTTTCCACAAAATGAAATCCTTTGAGAGTAGCTGTATTTGCGCTTAAAGGTGAGGTCATCTGCTGCCTATTTGATTGTTGCATATAGGGCTTAATTCAGTTTCCTCACAAAATGCTGGTTTTACTTTCAGCTGAGAAGGACACAGAAACTGTCAACATACAGCATACACAGCAGTGAGTCACTTGCACACTTAAGTAGGGTTGTGTACAAAGTCATTTAAAATGAGAACCTTTGTCTTCTACTCTAGCACCTTGTTCTCATGGTTACTCAACTGCTGCCCTTCTTCAGTGGCATCAGCAGCTGCTGCATACGAGTCAGTCTTCAAGCTGTGTTTCTGGGAAGTTTTGTCAGTTTTTAAGATTTCTTAAAAGAAAAAAATGAAATGCAAACTCTGAGCCACTCAGGATTCTCCTTGATGCTATCACTGAACATGCACCAGTTTTGAAAATGCAAATATATGCATATATATTGATGCAAATATATGCATCTATAATTGAGAAGGGGTTAAAAATTATAGTTTGTGGTGCATCCTCAGTGTTTGTTTGCAGCTCATTGTTAGAACAGTACACCTCCACGTGTGTGGGTAAAGAAATACTTTCTCAAATTCATTGAGTTGACACTTTCCATCGAATTTTTCAAAATGCTATAAAAGCTGAATAATTAAAATTGAATAATTTTAATAACATTTGTTTTCTGTTATGTACTGGAATGTGATATAAAAAATAATTTAAAAATCCAGATTGAGTATTTAAGCCTCTTTATAGCTTTTTTTTTTTCCTTTTTTTTCACCCAGCATATTTTGACATTTCATTCTGATTTCAAGACCTGTGAATTTCTACAAAAGACCCCGAATTTTCTATTTTGAACTAAATATTTTAGAGAAATTATCTTAAGAGCCTCTTGGTGAAGGTGTTCTGATCAGAAGTTTTGAGGAAAGAATCTTCTCTTCCTTTTCCAACCATTTGTAAATCTGAAATCATTAATGGCAACTTCCCTGAGATCCCACTGGGAGGTTCAGCTACCTGTTTTTTCTGTGTTGTGCTACTGGCGATTGGATATTTTTTTCTCCAAGAGAGGCAAATGTTTTCTGTGAGAGGACTTGCTGTATTTGAGTTAACATTTGTTGCAGTTACCAGGAGGAACAGATGGGGACAGCTAGTGTATGTTACTCCATTGTGCTGTGCCCCGTGTTACATGTAGAGAAAAAGTATTTCTTGTGCTCAGTAACTGTATTTCTTGATTCCTAGAGACTATCAGCAGGCTGACATAAAATATTTATCTGGATGGAAGCAGTGGAAAACAACTAGCAGTAAATCATTGAAAAAAGTTCTCAATGAAGTCAAGGAGTTGTCGTCTTACCTGGAGCTCTGGCGACATGATATTCACAGCATAGAAGGTATTTATTGTCTGAGTTTGATTTCTCCTCCTTAAAGTTGCTTTTGTTACTGGTAGTTTTACATGTGTGAGCGTAGTTTCAGATATAGCTGTATGTGTTTAAGATGTTACCCGCTTCCCTTATTATTGTTAATGTAAAATCCATGGTGGAGTAGAAGGAAATATATTGGAGAAAATGATTGAAAAGTCACATTTCCATTTCAGTTACATTGCTAACAGCCTGTGGTACTTAAAACTAACTTTAGTAATGTTGCTTCAGTTAACTCAATGTAACTGAAATTATAATCTGCTCATTCTGTATTTTCAGTTATTTTATCATCCTAATTATTGGCACGTTTCTTTTATTCCCAGGGAAATTTGGTACTGGCATCCAGTCCTACTTCTCCTTCCTGCGTTTTTTGGTCCTGCTGAATTTTATAATTTTTATTTTGATGTTCAGTTTTGTCACCCTTCCCAGCATCATTTCTAAATATGGAATATTCAACAGTAGCTTTGCTAAAATTCCTCCAAAGAACATAGGTAAACATCTTCTCTATGTACTGACATTGTTTGTAAGATTCCCTCTTTCCATCAGCTTCTCCTCTGCCTCCCAGGACAAAGAAATGCTTTTTTAATAAGAACTTGCCATATTTGAATTAACTTTATCTTAAAGTTTAATGGGCATTACGATTTGAGTGACTTTTCCTGCCTTTCTTTTGACAGAGCCTCACTGCACAGTTTATAATCCTAATGGTAATAAGGGACTCGTTTACTTCTATACATACCTCAAAGATTTGCTCAGTGGCACTGTAAGTAATTAGATTTTTTTTTTAATTGCTTTTCTGTGTCTCACATAACATGTAAAATGTGAAAACATTTTACTTGGGGGAATGAAGCTTTGATAATTTTGAAAAATAATAAGGCATATGCATCACTGGGGTAAAATTAACCTTTATCCTTTATGTGTGAGAACGGGAGTTTTCAAATTGACTTCTACTCAACATCCACAAGGCCTGGTTGGCCACATGCTGCAGCCTGTGCCTCTCCTCCCCAGCTGCTACATGTTGCATATTCTGGAGCATGCTGCCTATTGTGCTCTGTGTGTAGGGTCTCAGTGTCCTTGTCACAGAGCTCTTTGATCGGAGAGGGGAGGGATTTTAATCATGTAGTGTCTGTGTTGCAGTTCGGTAGAGGCAATGGCAGTATTTAGAAGCTACAGACTGTTGTAGCTTGCTGTAGCTTTTGTAAATTTAAAGCTGTAACTTTAAATTTACAAAATGATTGTTTAATGCCAGGTTGGATTTAACTGGGCAGTTGCTGCTATTGTTACAGACTATATTTAAACTTTGTTTTCCCAGGGATTCCTTGAAGTGACAAGTTTGTTTTATGGCTATTACACAATAGATGCTGCATGGTTCAGTATCCTGAGGTACAACTTGCCGCTAGCCTATCTGTTGGCTACGTTTGCCTACCTTGCATTAAGTCTCCTCTGGATAATAATAAGGTAAAGATGTTGGTATAGTTTACTTACTGCTACCTGCTGCAGAGTTTACATTACATTCTTGCTTGTTGAGAACATGCTGCATTCTAGAACTGTTTTATAGGGAAATGGAGAATCTTTTCCTTGAGGGTGCAGTGCCACAGTAGCCTTTGTGTGTGGGGAACTGAGCCAGCAAAATAAAGAAAAATAAATAAATTTGAAGTATCAGTTTTTCATATGTACACATGCACATAAATAGACCCTCAACTGTACAGTAATTGTTGGAGGATTTTATTTTGGTTTTTTTCTGTGGGCCTTCCCCCCCCCCCGCCCCGCCCCGCCCCACTTTAGTTTCCTGAGCCAGCTCTTTACAGTGTCAGAGAAGCACTGGGTGAGGTGAGGTGAGAAGGTGTGGCTGTGTCTCAGTGCAGAGGCAGGTAACTTGTGTCAGTCGTGGCTTCAGCTGACTTTGGTTGCTGCAGAACTTCACACTGAAAGCTTCCCAGAGACTTGCTGATGTAAAGCACATGTGGCTGTTTGCTCATAGGGGTGTCATTTAGTCTTTGATGAGCCAGGTTGCTTGAGGTGTGGGTTGTTTTTTTTTTTGTTTCTTTTTCTGTGGATAAAATAAGTCTTTTCATGAATGTAATAAAGTTGCATTTTTCTCTAGGTCTGTGGAAGGATTTAAGCAGAACTTGGTGCATGATGAAGATCAATTTCAGAGTTACTGTAACAAAGTTTTTGCAGGCTGGGACTTCTGCATTACAGATCCAAATGCAGCACAGCTAAAACATCGCAGCTTGCAATACGAGCTCCAGGTGAGTAACTTTAATTTTTCTATGATTACAGTATCATATAGCTTAGGTGGCTAAAAAAGAAAGTGTGTAATTTTACAGATAATGGAATAAGGATTAGAAGGATTGACGTAGTTTATACTGGGGGCAGGGCAACCCACATCCTCTTGCATGCTTTCTAGCTAGCTAGAATTGTGGTGCAACGTGAGAAGGATTGGCACTGAGGTTGACAGCCCTTCCCCCATCCTCTGGGGACTGAAGCTAACCTGTTAGCTGCTTGTCTTATCTGCCTCTTCCTCACTCCGGTCCTGCTTCCTGTGTTGGTTTCTACATAATCCAACAGGAAAAGCTATCCCAGCTGCAGGCAAAACCCTTGTACTGTCAGGAATCAGTTTGAGTATTTTGGGTTATAAATTGCAATGTAGTAGGCAGTAGTTTGGGGATGAATAAAAGTCAGATGGTACCTGCAGTAAGAAGATACTGAAAGTTTTTCACTAGGTGTCTTTGATACACATGCACATACAAAATGCTGATGCAGCTAATAGATTTCCCAAATAATAAAGCTCTCTGAAAAGAGAGTGAAAAGCTTTTGTGGTGAAACCAGTACCTTCTTTTTACTGTCTGTACCCTGGAAGCAGAGATTTGTGTAGTGAAACAATTACCTTTGAAAAGATACTTCCACTTCAAACCACAAAGCAGTAATTACAGATTTCATAAATTACAGTGAGTTCTTTTCTGCTCTAGTAAAGTTCACAGCCTTCTTTTTTCGTCGTGTAACCAGAGCTTCCGTCACTTACCACACTTTTGCCTCTAGAACTCGCACCTTAGGAGAACTTACCCCTTAATATTACTGTTTGATGGAAGTAAGTCCTCAGGAAACACCTGGGGGTTTGCCCAGGTTAAACTGGGCAGGCGATACTGTATTTTCACATCAGCTAAGCTGAAATCTATCAAGTTTTCGTGACAAGCTGCTCAAGACCAAACTTCTTTCTCTCTGTGCCATCCCCCAATTTTCCTTCACAAAGAGTAGAAGAAGGAAGTTTGAGCCATAGTGGTGAAGACTGGTTACTTACCTGGAGAAGTAAGGAGCTGAGTAGGCTGATTTACACATTTCAGAGTTTAGTACTGAGCTATCTGGGATCAGTCTCTCACAATAAAGAGGCAAGTTGTCTTTCTGTCCTTAAGGAGATGTGTTACTGATACAGTAGAGATAAAAGGATTGGAGACACTTGCCTTTGGCTATAGGGCCATCAACCTGAGGAGACTGACCTGTTTGTGTCAGTGTTCAGCGTACTTGGGCAGGTGGTGGAGTGACCCTACTAGAACAGGCTGTGGATTTGCACATCCCAGAGGTAGAAGACACAGTGTCAGTTGTTGTATGCTGCACCGGAAAGCAACGCATCCTTTTTCTTTTGTTTGTAGACAGACTTGGAAGAAGAAAGGCTGAAGCGAAAAATAGCTGACAGGACCATGAAGGAAAAGCTACGCATCTACTCTCTGAGAATATTTATAAATATAATTGTCATTGCAGTTTTATCAGGATGTTTTTACTCTATTTATAGAGCAACTGTCTTCTCTCAAGAAAACTCCAGTGTAAGTATCAGACATGACATTAGGACAGAGTCAATTGGGGCTGATGATTACAGCAAGAGGAACTATTGTGAAAGAGACAAGTATCTTAATATAGCACCTTTCATGCAAGGGATCTGAAAATGCTTTCTGCAGACTTAGAATTTTTTTAGCAGGAGAAGAGTAAGAAAGATTGAGCACCATGTGCTAAAAACCCCAGTGATGTCTCCTTTGATGTGGAGGCTTCAGTGTCGTGTGCCTTGGAGCTAATGCAGCTGACAAGGAAAACAGCTTTTCCTTTCCTTTCCGTGTAACTGTTCTCACCTCACTGTGATCTGCTAGTACAAGTGCTTGTGTGTCTGTGCAGTGAACAGACTGAGGGAACTGAACTGGTTAAAACAAATTTCATTGTGATCAGTTTCTTGATCTGGTTCACTGCTGAACTGCAAAAATGAACAGTAAGGAAAGGGGAGAGTAAAGATTATGATCTGTATTGTGGCTTGAGTTACAGCTCTGTGGGGAAACAGGAAGGCTTTGAACACCAAGCACTTTGCAGAAGAAAAGATTTTTGCGTCAGTAGTGGAAAGAATCAGGTTGGGTGTGGTTGTTCACCTCTGACAGGACAAGCAGATGGGAAGAGAGATTCAGAAGCAGAATAAAAAGAGCAGACAACAGTTTCACAACAGTAGTTGACTTATCTGTAGGACCCCAGGTTGGATTAACCTGATATGAATGGGGACCACACTTTTTCACCCCGCTCTGTTCATTGATGATATTATGGGCACTGGCTGTGTATAAGGAAACTTGTACTCGTGGTGGACCGAACTCTTAACTTCTCCAAACTGACAGGATTGCAGAGAGAGAAGCAGGAAATGGGGACTAAAGAAGTGTTTGTGTCAGAGGTATTATTTGAGGGCAGAGAAAGAGGATAGCACAACACTGAACAACCTGAAAACCAGCTTCACTTACTGTGGGCTTTATGTATAAGGGTTGATATCTTGACCTTGCCTAAATGAGTAGGTAGAGGAGCTTGTTAAGATGGTAGGAAAGTCAAGGGAGCTGCTCAGCACTGGTGAGAATAATTTGAAAAGCGTCTGCATTTTGACGTGGGTTTAGAAGCTGGTAGCCTTAGTGCTGGGTTAGACAACATAGTCAGACATAAGCCTTGGTAAGATGAGCCTCTTCAAACAGAAGCTTTGGGGAAGTGCTAAAATGCTCATACCTGGAGGTGGAGCGACTTACTGGTGAAGGGAGCAGGAGAAAGCAAGGGTGTGTAGCAGCAAACTGCGTAGATGGATAGCAGTGGTCAGGCTTGTAGTTCCAAATACAGGTGGAGGATGAAGACAGAGTAAAAGATGCTACCTGAGTCCTGGACAAGAGAGGCTGGTGGGTAGCTGGAGAGAGCACGATGTCAGGAAGGTGTGTTTCTCTGAGTGTAATCTTTGTCTCATCTCTTCTTGTACAGGATGTCGGCAATACAAACTTCCAGGCTAATCTCGTAGTGCAGTATTTGCCTTCCATAGTGATCACATTGGCCAACTTCATTGCTCCTCAGATCTTCTCTTTTCTGATAGGATTTGAAGATTATTCACCAGCCTTTGAAATCAGGCTGACACTCATGAGGTAAAGACATTTTTATTGTGGCCTTGGATGTTTCAGCAACTTGTTCTTGGTAGATTTTAAATATTGTAAACATTGAAATCTCAAGAAGGAGAGAGGTTGGACTCTGCACTGGAGGGCCTGGGCTCTGAAAGCCAAGCAGGCGTTGCTTGATTTATGTTTAGTTGGAAGCTTTAATTTTAAATCTGGAAACAATCTCCTGTTTTAATGACAGTACGGTGCAGTCATTCAGTGTCCAAGTTTTTTCTCTCAGCTGTGTGATCTGGACATCTTCAACAACCTGAATAGTCAGTAGAGAAGTTCGGCTGCAGAGCTGTGGATTTACACTGCTTTGCATGCAACAGTTCCTTGAATGAGTAAATGTGTGTGTGCAGCAGTGACTGAAGCACAGTTTTGCTCAAAGCAGAAGTTAAAAGTTTTGGGATAAAATATATGTTAATGTGAGAGCACAAAGAACTAGTGTTTTGCAGCTTAAGGCAGTGAGATCTGGGTTGAAGCATCTGAACTCTGTCAAGCCCCTGTGCTTGGTATTTCTGATTTGGCTGAGTGCCTCTGAAAGGCTGAAGCCACCTGAGAGGGAAATGCTGCACAGAGTCGTCACCTGGCCTCTCAAACTGTACTTGAGAGAATTGCAGCCCATTGCAGCGACAAGATCTGCAACTAAAATGACCGATGTAGGAACAATACTGAGAAAGAAACAAGGGACTGTAGCCTAAAGCAGGGAAGGTGAAAATCAATTTAACTTACTACTCAGGAAAGAAATGTGTTTATTATCTAGCTGGCTGTTCCATTAAAGCTCTGTATGACCCTTTTGTGTTTCAAGCCTTCCTTGAACTCCTGTGCTGGTTGAGCCAGGTGTCAGAATGGGGGTTTTTTGCAGGTTTGGAATTGAGTTTTACCTTTCTTCCAGGTGTGTCTTTGTGCGGTTGGCCAACATCGGTGTTCTCTTGTTCTCGCTGTGGAGTCACATCTCCTACTGTGCCACTGACAAGTGTAAGGCCTGTGGATACAATTACGAACTCTATCCTGTAAGCAGGTTTATCTTGGTCTTTAATCACCTGAACTTGGGAATAGAGATTTGTTTTCCATGAGACTTGCTTGTCTAGAGGTATTCAGAATCAGACCTGGGGTTGCCCTTTATGTTATACTCGGTGCTGATTCTTACTGCTCAGTGCAAACCAATGCAGTTCTTCGTATATCTTTTGTTTGTCTGAAACTGACTAGAATTAGTCCAGTGGCAGATTATCGTTTAGCATAGACTTTCTGACTACCATGAGGATCGCTTGAGGTAGCTCTGTTTTGGAGACAATTTGTGTTACTGCCTTTTGCTCCAATAGGACAAATGGTCTTTTGTCAAAAAAAAAAAAACAACCCCAAACAAAAAGCTTGGCCTGGAAGCTCTGAAATACTTAAATATTTTAGAAATGGGAGTTAATACAATTTGAACTTTATAGTGTTAACTGACAGACACATTTGTTGCTTTAGGGATTGACAGATTTCTTTTTCACATGTTATTTAGACTCCTACTCTTGTTTTTCCTGACTTGTTTTTATAGTGCTGGGAATCTGAAGTTGGGCAAGAAATGTATAAACTGACGATATTTGATTTTATTATAATTCTTGGTGTGACCCTGTTTGTGGACTTTCCTAGAAAGTAAGTATCTCTGCCTTTTGAGCATATTTTTGCAAGTGACATTTGAAACACATTTTCTTTTTTCTGTTCTTGATTCCCCATATTTTTAAATGGATTACCAGTTTTAAAATAAAACATAAATATATTTCTGGTGGTTTGAGCACTTGTTTGCTGTTCAGATGGTTGTGTAGTTTTTATATTTGAGTCTTCAGACATTTTTCTTCTACGTTGTCTAATGCTTAAATGCTAAATATCTGTGTGTTCCAAATGTGTTAGAATTCAGCTAAGCTCTAGAACTTCAATTTAGAACTAATAATATTTTATTGTTTTAGGCTGTTAGTTACTCATTGCTCTTGCAAACCAATTCAGTGGTGTGGATTGCAGGAATTTGGAATTTCTGACAATGTCCTGGAAATGATTTATGGGCAGACTATCTGCTGGATTGGAACCTTTTTTTCACCACTTCTCCCTGCAATAGCAACTGTAAAATACTTCATCATCTTTTACATTAAAAAGGTAATGAAGGTGTGTGGTAAACAAACCAAATGGAATACATCTCTGTGGTTTTTGTAATATAGGTATGCAGTTGATTTAAAACAAAACAAAAACCCTAAAAACACCCAAGGATGCGGTGTACTGGAAATGAGGTAATTCCATTTTCTGTAGGATTTTTGCTTTTAAGAAAAGGTAGAATTTTACTTTGAAATCGAGCAAACCAACATTTTAATAACTACCTCTTCAGTTGTTTGGGTTTTTTTAAATAAAATCTTTTTATGTAAAAAAGCTAGTTTAGAACACTTTTATGCAATAATTATGCAATAACATAATTAAAATTGGACAAAATTTTGCCAAGCTACTAAAAAGTTGGAAGCAAAATGGAAAATCCAAGCGGGATTGGATGTTCAAGGTGTGAATTCTGCATATCAGAAGTTTTGCTCTTTGACCACAGCTCCTTCTGTGCATCAAATTCTTATTGATATTTGAGTTCTTACAAGAGGGCATGTATCCAGTGAAGATGCGGCAGATCAAAGCAAAAGGCTGTGCTGTGGATCATACACCAAGTTACAGTGTCAGTTGACTCTGTGCAAATGTGTGAGGCCCTCTGGATCAAATTCTTACTCAAAGTAGGAGACATTGACTTATACTAAAATGTAAAGCATTCTTGTCTCAGCCCTTTTCAGTCCATGAAGGATGGTTGTATGGTAGCTGACGGAATATTTGAGAATGGAAAATTCACTTGGTGGGGAAAGTATCCTTGGACATTTGTATGTCGATGTACTGGTAACAGTCTTGCTCACTTTCCCTCTTCAGATCAGTTTGATACACACACGTAAACCTGCAGCTAGGCCTATCAGAGCCTCGAGTTCCAATTTTTTCTTCTTGGTGGTGCTGTTGATTGGGCTCGTCTTGGCTTTTATTCCTTTGGGAATCAGCATTGCACAGTAAGTGGCAATTTAACTTTTATGAAGTTGATATTTGTTCTAAGATTGTCAGTTCCCTAAGAACAGACAAGCATTCTGAATGGCAGATTGGAATAAAATATGTAGTATACAATAAGTCAATTTATAATTTAGTTCCTGGAAACAAAAGTTACAGTTTTAAAGACAAAGGACACTTTAACCCTATCAACAAAATGGTGCCGGGCTTGTGTTGAGTTATTTTATCTTTACATTTTGGTGTAGCATCTCCTTTCTGTTCTGCTTCTTTGTCAGTATTCCCTCCTCCAAGGCATGTGGTCCATTCAGGAGTTTTAACACTTCATGGGCAGTCGTTCCAGATACAATAAGTGGCTTGCCAACAGGTCTGCAGCAGGTCCTTTATGGCATAGCATCAGAAGCCTTTGCAGTGCCTTTTTTTATGGTCATTTGGTGAGTACTGTGGAGATCTGAAGTCAGTCATGCAGCTGCATTGTTCATTTCCTTTCTGTCCCACTCTAGTTCTTGCTACTTGTGCTGGTTTTGGCTGGAGTGGAGTTAGTTGCTGGCTGGGGTTAAACCACGACACTACTGCTCTTCATCACTGAATGCACTGTGGATAATCTGGGTCACAGATTACATCTGGAATATGTGCTACAAGGAAAGGAACCCCAAAGGAGCAAAGAGTTGCTCCAGTGAAACCTCATTAAACTTAATTTCTGAGGAGCAACCCCCTCATACATACACTTGGAGCAGGGCAGGAGCTGGCAGTCTAGAGAGAGCTGTCATAACATAACCTGTAACATCTGAAAGTGGCCGTGCTGCTATGTCTCCTGGCACTCTATCCCTGCCTGCTTTCAGCACAGGTATCTCAGCAGATGCTTGTGAGCAGAGCTACGCCCAGGATACCCGAGCTGTCTATTGGGGGTTTTTTTAATTGTGTTTTTCTCCAGCAGCTTCTCATCTGAAGCAAATGCACAAACTGGCAACTCCTCTAGCCCATAACAGCCTTTTTCTGACTAATTCCTTTTTGCATTACGCTAATATATAATGTTGATTTGTTATTTGCAGCCTTGTTATGTTCTATTTTATTGCCTTGGCTGGAGCACACAAACGAGTGGTTGAGCAGCTGAGGGAACAACTGGTTTTGGTAAGATTTGACCCACTTTTCTGTACCCCTGAAGTTTTCTTTGTTGTGCCAGTAATAGGGCGTGCAGAGGAACAACGGTTTTCATAGTCTTCTGGTTACTTGGTGTTTACACAGGCAATGAAGAATGTTTTCAAATTACACAGGAAAAATAACCAAAGCACTATAGTATTTCTCAATCTAGTTGGTTTTCCTGGGTATCAGCTGCAACTGCAGCAAGGTCTGGTTATATCAGACAACAGACATGCGTGGGATATGCCTCTGAGAAGCAATGTCCCTGTTCTTCGTCTGTTGTCTTGCTTAAATCCACCCATCTGCATGTTTTTTTCTGACAAACAAGAACCTGAATCTTGTGCTTCCTGTCTCTTCCAACATCTTACACAACCCCCACCTCTATTTCATTCTCCACTCTCACAAACAGACACCCAACTCCCTGCCCTTCCCTCCAGGCCTGTGTTTTTACCGCAGCATGTCTGGTCTTGTTCCTGAGCGCAGGTCCCAGCACTGTTTGCAACAGGTACTCAAAGTGGAGCAAGTCACCACTAACTAGTCCTTTGCAGAACAGTGCCAGTGCAGACGTGCTTCTTTGTGGCCATCAAAAGCTGCTGTTGTGTTTGATAGCATTTGTATACCCTGGTCTGTCAATAGTCAGAACCCAGTCTCACTAGTAAGATGTCTCACTTTCTTGGGGTGCTTCTTTTAGATCCGACATTTAACAACCTGTCCTTAGAAAAACACTGTGCTGTGGAGAGATTTTTGAAGAGTAAGGAATTCAGGAGCAAAATCCTTACTGCTTTTTCAAGGGTTCCCAAATCATTTAAGAATTCTGAAAATCCTTGTGTGCTTTTTATTTTTGTTTGTTCAATGTTATGCTTCTTGGAAGTACAGTTTTAAGTTGTTAGGTGTGTGAGATGTTTTTACTAGGCTCCATAGAGAACTGTTAATATGTGATCTGACACAAGATAAATGAAGTCAAGGCTATTGTAAACTTTAAATTGTTCAGGCAGTTGAGAGTGTGCTGGGAGCCACTAATTAGAGTACACTGGGGTGAGTGCACCTGTTTATTTCTGATAAAGAAACGAGCTGTTCGTAGATAACTTGTACTACTTCTGTTCATCTGGAGCAGAGTACTTTTTATTCTGTCTTTTCAGGAGAGTCGTGACAAGCTGTTCCTAATCAGAAAGATAACAGAAGCTCAGAGGCATCCTTGAATACCACGAAAAGCCAGAAGAACTTGACTTCCTCAAACTGCCAGAACCACTAAATAAAAAGTAGAAGCATCTGCAGCACCTACAAACTGAGCAGCTGACTGGCACCCTAGCACTGTGGTCTATGCAATGGACACTTATGGTCTTAGTCTTGATTATGCTACTGAGCCTTAAAGTTTCCAAGACTGGAAATTTAGCTAATTTGTACTGTTAGACCTGTCCCAAATCTCTATGGTAGGACACTTCATTGCTGCTAAAATTTCAGGCTTGTTTGGGTTTAAGTCCCTTTTTCCCCTCCCACCCCCTCCAGGGGTTTTGGTTAAAATGTGATCAGAACGGAAACTCTGTTTGGAACTTTGGAGTGGTTTTAAAAGTTAGGCTTTAAGAATCAGGAGGGAGGGGAAACTCGTGGTTTCACATGTTTCCAACTCCTCTTTTAAAACCAAAGCAAAAGAGACATATGTCAGTATTCTGAAGTAGCACATAGGAGAAGAAAATATGACATGGGTTTGAAATCGATTTTCTAAATATTTTTAGAGAGGAGACTTTGATATTTATTTTTCTCTGAAATAGCAAGTGCCGTTGAACACTGGGTAACTTCACACAATGGTTCAGAGCAAACAAGCTGATGGCAGAGGGGGAGTAGGAAGAGACAACCGTCCATCCAGTCACCCAGCGGTGTGTCTGTCACAGGGAAAGCCATGGCCCGGGCACAGCATTTTTGGTTTTGAAAATGTGTTAAGGCATTATTACTTGTGTTTTATTCTTGTACAAACAGCTTGACTACTGTTCTCTTTGTTCTAAAATGTGAATATTTGAGAGTTAAGTTATAGTTTGGAAATACAGCATTGGGAACCTTGTGTGTCAGCACCCTTTAAATTCCTGTTTCTTTTTGGCTTAAATGAAAGGATGGAGCTGTGTGTCTCGGAGGGAGCAGTGTTTCTATGTAGACTACTCCCTGTTTGTTTGGAGATTGTGCTTAAGGAGTTTCTGTACAGAATTGTGGTTATTACTTGAAATTTGCCACTAGCTCACTGTTAGTTAATGCGTGAGCAGCTCTTCTTTGTTGTAATGTTTTGGAATGTTTTCTGCCCTCGTTTTAAATAAGTTAACATTCAGTAACTGATGTGTCTGACGGTTTGGAAGCCGGTTTGCTGTGGCCCTGAGCGGCCTGGCCTCGGTGCGGCCCCGCGCCCCTCAGCTCTCCCGCC